TTTTTAAGAAATAAATTGCATTATTACAGTAATAATTACAGTTAACATAAATACATTGGGAAAGAAACCTGAGCTATTCTTGATAAACAGGCATCTCAACTGGTATAAATAGGAGTACGAAGCCCAACGCAGAATGACCTTCCCAACGCAGAATGACCTTCCCACTTTGAGAGCACTCAGGGAATCAGTAGATTTCACAGAAGGAAATGTGCTTAATCCTGCCCATCAGGTAATTCGAGCCAGGCAGAAGCACCTACAGGCAGCTCCGGTCCACTCCCGCGAGTGCAGTCAGGGTTCTGGCGAGGGCGCCTTTGTCTACAGGCTCCAGTGAGGCTGGAGAGTCTTCTCTTGAGGAGGCCGGAAAGTTAGTGGTGGTATTTGCAGGAAAACTGGGCTAAAAATGGGTCCTTTTTATGGCCAATTCAGATACATGTTTAAATCTGTCTCATTTCCAATCTTTAAGTACTTGGTATTATTACTTTCATTTTATAATAATGGCATTACTTGGATTTTCTTCTGTTAACGCAAGTTGGGCTAGATTTCCACTATTATGAAGTTACTAATTTGATTACTAATGTTATTGCTCAAATGTAGAATTAAAGCTATATTTGCCTTTTTAACTCTTATTCTGTGATAAAGCTGGAACAAAGACTAGTTTTGAGAATAATGAAACTTGAAAACTAAAGGCATGCTTTGTAGGAAATCTAAGAATTGTGATGTTATAACCCAAGAACATTAACAAACTCCTGCTATACGCGTGATGCTATAGTTTTAAAATTATGTATAAAAGGCAATTACTATTTGGATATAAAGTTTACAATTTTAAGTCATAACTTTTTTAAAAAAATTTTATTTATATATTTTTAGAGAGGGGAAGGGGGGAGAAAGAGAGGGGGAGAGCATCAATGTGTGGTTGCCTTTTGCTCACCCCCAATAGGGGACCTGGTCTTCAACCCAGGCATATGCTCAGACTAGGATTCGAACCAGCAACCCCTTGGTTCACTAGTCAGTGCTCAGTCCACTGAGCCACACCAGCCAGGGCTTAAGTCATAACTTTTAAAACCAGTGGCACCTTTTCAGTTTTTATTTTATATGGTTAGGATTCTCAGCATTTAATATCATCAATCACTCTCTCTTTTGTGAAACTTTTCTTTTTTTGGTCCAGAGTTTCCTGGTTTTTCTCTGTCCCTCTGGCTTCTTCCGGTTTCCTCTGTGAAAAAAAATTTATGCTTGACCTGTCCTTTAGATATTCCTTAGCTGCCTTGCCGGGGCTTTTCCTACTCAACACCATCTTTTGACCTGCCTCATCCACTTCTGTGACCCCAAGTAATATGCGATCCAGGCATGGATGGCCCACAGCATCTCCAGCTGATATCTCTTCCTGGGGTCCAAACTACATGTCCATCTATTTCCTAGACTTCCCACTAAGCTCGACATCAACTTACCAAAAAATAAACGCATCATCTTTTGCTTTTCTTTTCCATGATCCAGCCCTCCTTCTAAACTTCCTCTTCCTGCTGGGTTGGGAGATAAAGTACGTGGTGGTTTGAGTATTGGATTTGAATCCCGGCATTCCAAATTACCAGGGTGACCTTGAGAAATTGAGAAGGAAAAAAGAAAAAAAACATAGTTATGGTCCCACCATTGTTAACATTTTGGTTTTGTTCTCTGGTTTTTTAATACATGTACAGAGTGGGGCAAACATAGGTTTAAAGTTATTCGTATGGAAAATATACAAGAATAAATAATAATACAAGAATAAACTCTGTTTCATGTCCTGCAAACCTACCTTTGCCCCACCCTGGGTGTACATAGCTGTAATCAGTTGAATATGTGGCTTTGTTTGTGGAGATTTTTTGTGTTGATTTTTTAAAGTATGCTCAAATATGTTTGCTATTTAAAAATATACAAAATAGTATGCCTCGTTCATCATTTATAGCCCAGCCGTTCTCCCAGACCCCTCATCTCATTCCCTTCTTTACATCCATATTTGTGAGTAGAAATGCAGTTATTTTATTCAGCTTCTTTTTTTCAGTACCATTATATCATAAGAGTTTTCTTGTAACTTTAATAGTTTGTAGGCATTTTGATGGTGGCCCATTCGTGGTGATAGAAGTAGCTACCAGGGTGGAGTAACTACCACATCCTGGCACACAATTGCTTATCTTAACACCGCCCCTCTTTGATGGATGAGGAAGCTGCATGACTAATAAAATACCCGTCAGTTCAGACATTGCCCTGCCTCTCCCATGGCCACCTCAATATGTGGATATGTGAATATGTGACAGTTAATCATTAGCCAGTCTTCCCCCATTGTTGGACATTTATGGTTTCTTATTTTTCACTGTTATAAAGTAACTACTGCTACTGTGTGTTCCTAGTCTGTCTCTGCATTTGAAATTGCCTCCTAACCAAGATTTCCAGAATAGAATATTTTTCCTTTCTGACATGAATTTCCAAATTGCCTTCCTGAAGGTTTTACCAATTTATAGGGAGTGTTTAATTCTACAGAGAGGGAAAGGAGAGAGAGGGAGTGACGTTTCATGGAGGAGGTGACATCTGAGCCGGCTCCTGCAGGAGCAGCAGGGCTTTGCCAGCAGCAAAGGGAGTGAGAGCAAAGGCATCTGGACACAGGGAGCCCAGACCCCCACGGAGGCCGTCTGCTCCCTCTGTGGATTTGCCACCAGAAATCCTACTCATTCCCTTACTTTGGAGTTGACAGGGAAGAGAATCAGATAGGGGCAAAGGGGAAGTTCAAATTCTAAGACGTGATTTTGCCCTTTCATATATTTAGAAACCATCTCAAATGAAAGCTCCTTTGAAGTTCTGAGACGTGCATGTGGGTCTGTTTCTTTTTTCCTTTCCCCGAGGAAGAACAAATCCCCTGAGGATTTAGTCTAACTGGGAAACAGATGTAACCTCTCTGGTTCCAGCTGCTGCCCTCAATTTAAAGGGGCCAGAGCAGCACATGGGACATTAGTCCTGATGTGTATAGGATTCATTACCAGCGTCCTTCTGGTTCTGTACAGTGAGGAAATGTCATTAGCTTCACGCATTTAATATGATTTATATCCATTTGCTGGATGAAAAAGATAAAAGTCCTCACCTAACTAAACTCCATTTTTAATTGTGAGGTAGGTGCCAGACACTAGGCAGTCAAATTCTACGGTACAGCAGAGCTGGGGTCGGATTGCAGCTTTTATCTGAGCGTGGTGTGTCTGCAAGTGCTGAGAGCCAAGGGGTTGGAGAGCCAAGGGGTTGGCGGTGGCAGGCGAGGGGACAACTGGTCAGAAGGCTGTTAAACGGAAGGGTGCCGTCTGCACTCCCCGGTCAGGGCGGTGGAGGCTGCCAGCTGCCACTTCTCGCTAACACTGTCGTCACAGCTGGAAAGGCAGTATGGTCAGTAAGGCACTTCACATCATATTTTGAAGAAGGCAACTTATAAATTATAAATTAAGTAATAAAATATTTCTAAAGCTGCCAAAGTACCTTCAGGATGAATGGTATTTTCTTTTTGCATCTGATGTTTACACTGCTACTGTGGAGATTTAGTCTGCGTGGCATTTATGATGTTTATGGAGGGAATTTAAGCACCTTAAAACCCAACTGTGAAATAGAATTTGACGGAATTAAGGAAACAGGTGAGTTTCGGGCTGTTTTAAAAATAAATTGTGCCTTTCTGCTTTTAAGGAAATGTAATAATGAGAATAGATGAAGTGATCAAATGGGTGATCTGTTGGACCAGATTGAATTGGTAGCTATGAAATGAAATATCATTTAAAATTATTATGCAAGCATATTAGAATGGCTCTAGACATCACCCATCAAAATTGCTGTGGTCCATCTTCTAATGGTCTCCTGTTCTGCAAATGTCTTCTTGGAAGAGAGCCAATAAATGGGAGTGTTACTGGAAGACTGGGCCTTACATTTCATTTATCTATATGAAAGGGAGGCTAGAGTTTGATGATACATAGGAAATGTGAAAATACGTCCCTGGGCCAGGGGTGCAGCTCTCCGCCCAGTGTGAACTGCTGTATAATGAGGGCATCATTCATCATGGGGGAGGAACTTCATCTGCAAAGGAAACTCATGCCCATTCACAACTTGTTACCTACACATTTCTGCATTAAGACGGTGCAAATTACCGAGATCTTTACCCAAAGTTCTTACCAACTTAAAAAATGTTAAATCAGATAGTAATGGAAGCCCATGAGAAAGAAAGCTCTCAGCCTGCAACTTAACATTTCTCTGCAGCAACCCAGTGTCCACCTCTTGATTTCATTAGATATTTGCAGCCTCGCACGCAGAATCATCTTGCCCAGATCGAAACCATCTATTGTTCTTCTTATTCCTAGTTCTGCCCCTTGCATATTTGTATAGAAGAAATATTTTTAAAATAGGGCATAAAAGAGCGTAAAGTTATGTTATTTACTTAAATGTTTGACTAATTTATAGAAATTGTTTAAAATAGAGCAATTGATTGTAAAAATAACCTTATATTTAGGTTAGTTTTCATTGCTACTACAGTTACTGTGGTTAATGACTTTTTACTGCTACCATTGATGAAGGTGATTTCTGTTCAGTTTATTTGTTGACTGTAAAGTTCTGTCCTAGAAAACTCATGCAATGTGGTATTCTTCCATAAAACTTGCCTTACTCCTCAAGTTCCCAGTTCTCTTCATCTTTATTATGCTCAAGGCTTTTATCACTTAACTCTTCCTGTCCACTTAGCTATCATCCACCTTTTATCACTTAACTTTCCCTTCAATTTTTCATGGGTTTTCATTTTAACTTCTCTAACTGATTGTAAGCTCCTCGATGAGAGATACCTTATAGCAGCAGTATATTATACACCATGAGTCTCAGGTTGTACCACACATGGTTGTTGATTGATGGGACTTAATAATCAACTTTATCTCTTCATTCATATTTCATTGAATGTCTCCAATGTCCCATCAACATTAATACATATCTGAAATATGCATCCACTTCTTCCCCAGGTCAATCAGCTTCACGGCATCCCGAAGCTCCTGCAGCTCCTAAAATTTCAGAATGAAGATGTTCAGAGAGCCGTGTGTGGAGCCTTGAGGAACTTGGTATTTGAAGACAATGACAACAAAGTGGAGGTGGCTGAGCTCAACGGGGTACCTCGGCTGCTGCAGGTGCTGAAGCAAACCAGAGACCTGGAGACTAAGAAACAAATAACAGGTAGTACTTACAGATATTAGAGGCCTCCTGGGGTGCACCCCAGCAAGATGTGTTATGTCTTCTGCTTCTTTTTTCAGTTCCCTGGAACAAATAATTCCTGGGTTCATTGCTATTTGACAGATGACTTTCAAGGAACCTGGCTAAGATCCCAGGTTCAAGTCCGGTTTAAATTCCTTTTCTTCTGAAGGGGGAAATTATTCTGAGGCTCTTGCTTAACATTTTTAATCAGAAACTGTGTGCACCTTTGAGTGTATGTCTTTAAAACAGCTTGTTAACAAGACCACACGAAAATTATGTATAAGTTCACTAACAGTGAACTTGGTAAGTTTAAGAATCTGTGGAATTTCAGTATTGTCTAAGGTATCCGAAACATTCTGAGGAACTCCAACAAGAACCACACCCAGTTCTTTTTATTGTTTACTCAACACTCTATTTGCTAAATCAATACAGAGAAAGTAAATTGGGGAGTCAAATTGTATCCCAATGTAGAGGATCTGTTTAATCAAATTAGTCAAAATACCAGACACTCTATTTCCCAGTCTTCCTTTCGTCACCTGAACCCCTCAAAATACCAGCTCCCTACCCCACCTAGCCCTCCACCTCCCTCTCAAAAAGAGAAAAGAAGAGAGTGGATGGATGTGTTTTTCAGTTCTGTACTGTATATTTTTTTCCAAATACTGATATGAACAAATAAGTATCTTGTTTCTACCTAATGGGTTAAAAATATGGACTAATAAGATAGAATTAAAGCAACAATTTTAGTAATCCTTGAAGCACAGAGGGAGGCCTAGTTTCATTTAAATGAGTAATCGGTAGGATCGAGGAGAACATGGTTGGTTCATTGATGTTGGGCCCACCCTCCCTGCCCTCGCCATCAGCTCCCTGCTGTAGCTCCCTGCACACATCACAGTGCAAAACACATTCCTGAGCACAATCATCATCAGTAGTATTGCCTTGAGGAAACTTTAAATAGCTTCAGCGTCCCAGGTGATACACATACCTTTTAAAATTTAAGCATAAGTGGCATTGTTCCCTCTCACACCCCTCTGCTACATATAGCCCTACAACACAGGGACCTTGGTTGTCCTGCCCCAGCTAATACCTAAGGCTGTACTGCTTGCTACATAACTTGCGCCAAGACAAAAAAAAAAAAAAGGCCCAAATGAAAGAACAGATCAAAACTCCAGAAAAAATAGAACTAAGCAATAAAGAGTTGACCAGCCTATCAGGTGCAGAGTTCAAAACACTGGTAATCAGGTGCTCACAGAATTCAACCGGAACAGAATGAAGAAACAAGAATTCAAAAAAAAAATGAGGAGAGGCTTAGAAACCTTCAGGACAACTTTAAACTTTCCAACATCTGAATCCTAGGGGATGCCAGAAGGAAAAGAGGAAGAGCAAGAAATTGAAAACTTATTTGAAACATAATGAAGGAGAATTTCCTTAATCTGGCAAAGGAAATAGATTTCCAGAAAGTCCGGGAAGCTGAGAGAGTCCCAAAGAAACTTACACCATAAGGCACATCATAATTACATTAATCAAGATTAAAGATAAGGAGAGAATCTTAAAATCACCAAGAGAAAAGGAGACAGTTACCTACAAAGGAGTTCCCATAAAACTATCAGCTGATTTCTCAAAAGAAACCTTACAGTCAAGGAAGGGCTGGAAAGAAGTATTCAAAGTCATGAAAGGCAAGGACCTACATCCAAGATTACTCTATTCAGCAAAGCTTTCATTTAGAATGGAAGGGCTGATAAAGTGTTTTCCAGATAAGGTCAAGTTAATAAAGGAGTTGCTGGTCACCAAGCCCTTATTATATGAAATGTTAAAGGGACTTACCTAAGAAAAAGATGACCCAAAAATATGAACAGTATAATGACAATAAACTCACAACTATCAACAACTGAACCTTAAAAAACAAACAAAGCAAACTAAGCAAACGACAACAGGAACAGAATCACATAAATGGAGATCACATGGAGGGTTGTCAGCGGGGAGGGGGAGTGGGAGAGAGAGGGAGAAGGTACAGGGAATAAGAAGCATAAATGGTAGCTACAAAACAGATGGGGGAGGTGAGGAATAGTGTAAGAAATAGAGAAGCTGAAGAACTTACATGTGTGACCCATGGACATGAACTAAGGGTAGGAGGAATAATGGTGGGAGGTGGGGTACAGGGTGAGGGGAATAAAGGGGAGAAAAACTGGGACAACTGTAATAGCATAATCAATAAAATATATTTTTAAGATAATAAAATTTAATTATAACAAAAGCTTTAGGTTTTGAGGTATATTTAGGTATTATTGGGTATTTAATCTCAATTTTACAGATGAAAAAACTTAGACCCAAAGAAATGAACCCTTTTACTATATAAACTTTTTTTTAATGGTAATAGTTGACAGTGCTCTTATTTAAAAAGAAGGTACTTCACAAATATGATTTTTAATTGAATATCTTATGCCGAGTCAGCCTCAATTTATTATATGGTTTTTTTTTCTGTAAACACTTTATATCCTCTCTACTCATTTGTATCTTAAAATATAACACTTTTTTCTATCTTGGTACCATTTAATTGTGTAAAACTATCCAAAGGTTAGTAGCATGTGACCCTCCTGCTGGCGTGTTGTCATGTCCCACAGGACAGTGCCCTTCGTATTTCTGAGTTAAATTAAATACCGACAGAAATTAGAAGGCATCTCACTTAGCCAGCATTTACAGGGCAGCCTGCAAGTGCCATGCGGTGAAAATCACAGTCCAGACAGGTTGTGGATTTTATTTTCCAGCTACTAAACCATAAACAGTTATGTAACAGTTGGCATTAAAAAAAAAACCTTACATTTAGAACCTAACCTTTTTTTTTTTTTTTCATTAAAATATAGTAATGAACCACTAAAGAGAATCAGATTATCGTGTCTTAACAGTCAAAAAAGACTTCATGTAGGAGGTATGTTTCACTGTGGACCTTAAAAGAGGGATAGGCTTTGGACTGGCCTTTTTAAAGAAGAATGAAGTTATCCCCAGCAAAGTGAACAGCACAACTGGCAGAGCAAAGAAGTGGGAAGAAGCTACTGACCATTTAGAGGAAGCTTGGATAGGGCGACTGAGGTTGCTGGAAAGCTTGGGAGGTTGTTCCGGTGTGTGTCAAGGAAGTAATCCATTGAACAAGGCTTCCTCTTCTTTTGTGTAGACAGTAGGAAGCAGGTCAGAGAACATTGTGTGGTATTGATGCCATAGAAACCACTAAATGGAGGGTAATTGTGCAAGTCCCAGATTTCTAGTACAAAACAAACATTCCTACCAGAGGGTGTTCAGTACATGTTAACTGATTTGACTTGATACTTAAAGGTGGGAAACAAATCCTTATAAATAACTTCCATTAGCTCTATTAATAAAAAAAGTTAAGTAAGTGCTTTCCTGGCCTTAAAAATAAATTGTTGACTTAAATAGACATATTTATATCTTTGTTTAGAAACACAAAGTGAGTCACCATATATGTGAATCTCTTCTTGTCTATTTCATAAACATCTTTTTATGGAGCCCCTATTATGTGCTAACCACTAAGCTTGGGCTTTTCATTTTTCATCTCTGTTCCGCCTGCCAGCTCCATAAGGCTTTATTGATGATTTACATACTGATCAATGTGAGGTTCCGGGCAGGGAATAAATTGTCCAAGGTTACACAGCTAGGAAACAATAAAGCCCAGATCTGAACTAGTTTTATCTGAGTGTTTTGGTGTATCAAAGTGGCTCCCACCTACATCTTGGGGCCAGGGGATCTCATTTCTACTCTTATTTGGGAAGGGGCTTGTCTTTGAGAATCTCAGAGTGGAGAGCTCTCTCTCACTCCTCTTTGACCCTCCCTTCTTGTTTCTGTCTGGGTCCGGGCCTCTTCCTCTGTCTGGCCTGCTGTTGCCCTAGCCTCGTACCTCGCCTATGTCATTCAGTATCACACATTCCCAGTCTATCCACCACTCTGCTAGTGATTTCTTTCTAAAAAGAAAATATTGTCTCATCATGCCCCTCCCATTACCTGTAAGATAAAGTCTGCTCTGTGGCTAAGGGCCTGATGACCACGGGCAGCAAGGTCTCCCCTACCCTTCCATCCCAAGGTCTAAAGTCCTAAAGGACCTGCTGGTCTGTTCATGTTTTCTTCCTGTGTCGGTATCTTTGCCACTGTTGTCTTGGACTGGAGTCCTCTTCCACACCTAGAGAACCTTCTCATCCTTCAATCGCTGTCTCAGATATCACTTTTCTGAAGTGTTTTCAAATGCCATCCCTCTAGTCTTTACTTGCAGCCCCTCCCCCCAGTTTTGGAGGAAGGGACTCCTCTGAACTAACTTTGCATTCTTTAATAATAGGTTGCCACTTATTTCACACCTGTTTATTGTAATAACAACTGTGGTGCTCATGTAAGTTTCTGAACAACTTGGATGTCTGACCAAGTATAAAAAAAGAGACTCGTGTCCTGGAAATATTTAGATTATACATAAATAAGAGAACCAGATGTGTTTTCAGGTAAAACCTTGATTTTTCTGCCCAAGTTATTAAAAGAACTATCAGTGTGTGTGTGTGTGTGTGTGTGTGTGCGCGTGTGCGCGCGCGCGCCTAAGTTTAGGATCAGAGCTTTGTTTGTTGAAAAGAATGTCAACACACTGACCTTCCTGGCATTTTCTGATTTTCTATACCAGCCTAGGAGGGAAGGTCTTCCCTCTTTCAATCACAAGACTTCAGAATCAAAGCTTTCTCCTCCATGAGATTGTTCCTGTTCCCTTGCCAGTGAGTGTGGCGTTGCACTGTGAAATGGGAACAGTGCGTACTAGTCTCAGAGAGTCATCTTCCAAGGTGATAAATGAGTCCTGGCTGTAGTGCGCGGGCTCCGCCTTGGGTGAAAACAGGTGATAAGAATGAAGCAGTCGATTCTTGTACCTCTTCTCTATATCACAGAGGAAGAGTCCCAGGATGACTACCAGCAAAATTTGTTGCAAATTCTTATTAACCTTTGCATAGTTTATGGAAATATTTCCTAGAATTGCTCTATGGCCATAGAGTATCAGGAACATTTTGCTGTAAAATATTCCTTATGCACTTTCTTTAAATAATTTTATACTGTATTTTTCTGTATTTGTAATGTGCACAAGGTACTTTCAGTTTATAACTTGGCATAAATGACCTTTGTGATATGTGGTATTGCAGGTGAAATTTATAAAACTTAGCTGCAAGGAGGAGTATATCCATGCAAAGGAGATTGTTAAAAAAATATCTTCATGCTCCATGATCACTTTGGAAAACAAGGTTAAAATCCCAGTTTTCCTTCTCCTCTACCTGGTCCCCTTTCTCCTGTACTAAAAATGAGAACTCATTTAATTATCAAATTTGCACATTTTGCTATCTAAGTGTCATGCAGACTTACTTAAATAACTATACTTCTGGTCCTAGAGGGTAGTATATTAACTAAAGTGGGTTTTAATATCTGTAAGATCCTTGTATTAGTTAGGTAGCTATTTTTTGCAAATAGCAGTTGGCAATAAATTTCTGGATAATTCAGTTGTCATTATTGCTAATTATTCAAAGTATATCTCTTGCTAGAATCTAGTTCCTTCTCTTTTGGCTAAAATGAGAGCTTAATGATAGAAAATTGCAGGCAGAACAGTAGCAACAAAGAACTATAATTGAAATTTAGGCACTGTGAATAAATTGACCAGAAGTTAAAGGTGAAACAAATGAAAACCTAAACTCTATTAAATAGTATATCAGGGATTCTAGAATCAAATCATTGAAAGGGGCATCTACTCAGGGTCAGATAGACCATTAGCTTTGCAGTACCAGAAATAGGAATCTTTTTTTTTTAATTCATTTTTATTTTTGAGAGGGGGAGAGGAAAGGAGGGGGAGTGAGAGAGAGAGAAACATTGATCTGTTGGCCTGCTCATTTATGCATTCATTGGTTGACTCTTGCATGTGCCCTGGCCAGGGATCAAACCCACAACCTCGGTGTATCAGGACGACGCTCTAACCAACTGAGCTACCTGGCCAGGGTGGAAATCACTTTTAAAACATGAATTTCTGAAATTCATCCTAAGGTACTGGCTCAGTCAGTGTGGAGTGTGGCCCAGGAATATGTATGCAATTCTGAATTGCCAGTGGGCTAATTTTATTTGGAAACTGCTAGTCTAGTCCAAAACTCTGGTTTCGAAATAAAACCTTCTTGTCAGTATTTTGGTAAAAGAGCTCATTTTTATCAGCTCCAGCGATAGAGCAGGATCTTATAAGTAGACTTTTTCTGTTTTCTTCAGTGCTGTCTTAGAAGTTTATACGTGCAGTGAGCCAAAATCTCCTTCCCGGGAATTTCCACTCATTGGTTCTGGTTTTGCCTCCTATAGTCACAGAAAATGGTTATCTAGTTGTGGAATTTGCATTTCTTTAGTTACTGGGGAACATGCTTTCCTAAGTATATTAGACTCAAATATCTTTTGGCCTTGGGTTAATTTTTCTACTAGTCATTGAATTTTTAAGAATTTGTAAGAATTCTGTATATTAAGAGTATTAATTTTTTCTCATTTGTATTTGGTCATTCATTGATTTTGTGTGTATATGTGCGAGGGTGTGTGTATGAGTGTGTATAATCTCGACTTTCTAGTGAACATTTAAGCTCCTCCCTAGCTTGTACCACACAGAAATTTGGCAGGCATACTGTTTCTGTACAACATCCTACGTTAAAAATTCAAAAATTATATATACTAAAACACTGCCAACCATAGAAATAATGTAGACATAATCGTTGCATGTCAAGCTATAAAGAACATTGACTATGGAAGGAAAATTCCGGTCCCTTTGTTCAAATTAATCTCCTCTGGTTTTTATTGTAAGGTGTACTTTTCCTTTGAGTGCCCTGTGTGGTCTTTTATAAAAGGGAAGTGTCTTTTTGCTTCACACTTTAAGCCTCTCACAGGCAGAGACTCTTTTCTTACTGAATTTATTGGAGTGACATTGGTTAATAAAATTATACAGGTTTCAGCTGTACAATCCTGCAACATGTCATCTGTATATTATATTGTGTGTTCACCACCCCAAGCCAAGTCTCCTTCCAACGCCACAGGCAAAGACTCTTAATTGTTTGCTTATTTAGAACAGGAAGCTTTTTCCCCTTTTCTCTCTTCTCTAACTTTCTTTTGTATCTTAGTAACCAGAACTCCACCTCAGTTCTGCCTTTAATTGTTTTCAGCCACCTTCAGGGTTTTATTGTCTCGCCCTTCCCTTCCGGGGCCTCTGAGGTGAAGTGGGAGGAATGAAGTCATTGTGTTGCAAAACTGTGGCTTAGGGGCACTGCTGATGACTAACCCAAATGCTAGCTTGGTCAGGAAAAGACTTCCTCATTAGCCAGAATTCCAGTCCCTACAAGACAGGAGACCCAGTGTCGCCGGGGCTAATGTAAGCTAAGTGTAGGCTGCGGTGGAAATTTGGTTTTAGAAATTAGTTATTTGTACACAGCCAAAATAAACTGTGTAAACACAGAAGACTGCATTAGGCTTAGCATGTTCTAGTGGATGGGCCAAATACAAGTGCGGTTGAATAGCTACCACACTTTACCTGTATTATTTCAGTCATTAAAGTTAGAGGAGATGATATCACCACGTAATTCAGCCAAGATCTCCAGGTTTGCTTTTTCTTCATGAAGGAGACCATCCTGTATACCTGTGTGTCCTCTTTCCATTATACAGACAAAGCAGTAAATTTAGCAAGTAGGAGTTATTGACTGGTGGAGGGAGAGTGAATAGGAAGAAAATGAAGATCCTTTCTTTCTGTTCCCACTCTCTCCTTTCCTAGATGCTAGAGTTAGAGAAACGCACTGAGGAATGAAGGATGGCCAAGCAGCTTTATACTACTGAGTCCGTGGAATAGCAAGCAATAGGTGTGTAGGCTTTCCATTGAATCAGAAGTATTTGAACGAAAAATTTGTAAGAATAACAAATCATAAGTGAACTCATGTATACCATTTTGTACTTTTTCTCAGTACCCAGCTTCAGGCTGTCTCACAAATGCCCTGGAAAGCGTACAGTAGTATCCTATTATCTTAATTTTTCCCTTAGCTGGTTTATATACTCTTTCTCTCTAATGGGGGTGGGGCGGGGGTGGGGGCAGAGTTAAAGAAAAGGGAAGTTAAGTGAGCAGATGTGGTTCCAGCTTTAGGCCAATGTTTAGGCCATGCAAATTGGCAGACAGATAAAGTACTTTGTCTCTCCTTCTGTGCTGAACTGTAAGAAATGCATGAGGTAGCCAGCAAAAATTCCGGGAAGACATTAAATCTATCATTAGATTGGAGTCAATAAGTAGTCATTGGTGATGTTAATCAGCCTACCGTTGACAGGAAAAGCATAGTTGGAGGCTTTCTGCAAGCCCCTCCTGCGATTATTAGGAGGCAAATGACAAGTGAAAGTTGCAGGTAGTGGAGAGTAGGAGGCAGAGGGAGGTGCATTTTTTTCATGCATCTAAGTGGAAAAAAAATATGACCCTTCAAAAAACTTAGTTACTATAGGGTCGTTTCAAGCCTCCTTGCTGGTGAGCTCAGAATTGGTTCTTCTCCGTGCTCAGCTTTATGGCGGGGGCTTAAGAGAAACAGCAATAAATGTTTAAGGGTTTCTGGCTTTCATTGACATTCCTGAAGAATTTAAACCTGCATAGTTTTATATGGTAATCTCTCTTCCCCTCCCCCTTATCTATTTTTTAATTGTTCTTATGGATCAGCTTCCATTGCCATCGAATTAGCAATAAACAAGCTTTTTCTATTGGAAAAGGGGCTGCCTCCCCAGCCCATCCTTTTTTTTTTTTTTTAAATACCTAGCCCCCGCCCTGGGCGTGACAGCCCTGACCTGCCATTGCAGCAGTCCTCTGACCCACCGGCACTGTTTTAATTCTAGGTTTGCTGTGGAACTTGTCCTCCAGTGACAAACTCAAGAACCTCATGATAACAGAAGCCTTGCTTATCCTGACTGAAAACATCATCATCCCCTATTCGGGGTGGCCAGAAGGAGACTACCCCAAAGCAAATGGTGTGTTGGATTTCGACATATTCTACAATGTCACAGGATGCCTAAGGTAATGCCACGCTGCACTCCACCCCCTAAATACTGCATTCATGTCTGTCTAAAACTGTACCTCCTTGTCTTGAGATGCTGTAAAAATTATAAAGATCGTTCTAACTACTAGAACCACAATGTAGAAACAATGAGAAAGGTTCAAGTATCAATAGAGTATTGTTTCCAGACATGTTTGATGTTAGAAGCTGCCCATAATAGACAGAAGGTGTCCATTGCAGCAGAGAACCCAAATTAATCTGATGTGAACTGCTAGAAGTCCATGCGCACTGCCCTCCCTCCTCTCACAGGGGTTAAGGCAGGTTTCATGCTATTTTTAACTTACAAAAATCTGATTTAATGACGAGGTTAAAAAATTTTTTGAACTGGTGTTTTCATTATTTTCATTTTTTATTGAGGGATCATTGGCATACATCGGTTTTGGGTGTGTACCATAATGATTTGTGACTGTGTGTAATGTGGAAGGATCGCTGCGATAAGTCTAGTTAGCATCCATCACCGTTCATGGTTATAGAATGTTTTTTCTTGTGATGAGAACTTTTAACATTTACTCACAGTTATAACTGTAGTTGCCACGCTGTACATTGCATCCCCCTAACTTACTCCTTTTATAAGTGGAACTTTTATAAGTTTGCGTCTGTATCTTTTGACTCTCTTCAGCATCCCTGTCAACACCCTCCCGGCTCCCGCCCCCACAACCCTCCTCTCACGTCTGGCCACGTCTGGCAGTCACCGTTCCGTCCTCTGTATGTATGCTTTTGGTTTTGTTTGGCGTTTTAGATTCCATGTGTAAGTGAGATCATACGATGTTTGCCTTCCTCTGCTTCACTTATTTCACTTAGCACAGTGCCCTCAAGGTCCATCCGTGTTGTCACAAAAGGCAGGATTTTCTTTTTATGACTGAGTAATATTCCATTGTGCATATGTATGTCGCCTTTTTTTATCCATTTATCCATCAGTGGACACTTAGATTGTTTCTGTATCTTGACCATTGTGAATAATGCTGCAGCGAACGTGGGGTTCATATATTTTTTTAATGTTTTTCATTTTCTTCAGCTGAATACCCAGAAGTGGAATTGCTACATCATGTGGCAGTTCTGAGTTTAAAGATCGGAGGAACCGCCATACCATTTGCTATAGTGGCTGCCCCAGCTTCATTTCTACCAACAGTGCACGAGGGTTCCCTTTTCTCCACTTCCTTGTAACGCTTACCTGTTCACGTTTTGATGACAACTATTCTAACAAGTGTGAGGTGATACCTCATTGTGGTTTTGATTCCCATTTCCCTAGTTAGTGATATTGAGCATCTTTTCATGTATGTGTTGGCCATCTATATGTCTTTGGGAAAATGTCTGTTGAGATTTTCTGTCCCTTTTTAAATTGGATTATTTGTTTTTTTGCTATTGATATCTTAATATTTTTTGTATATTAACCCTTTATCAGATATATGATTTGCAGATTTTTCTGCCATTCAGTGAGTTGCCTTTTCATTTTCTTGCTGGCTTTGTTTGCTGTGCAGAAGCTTTTTAATTTGATGTCATTTCCCTTGTTTGTATTTTATTGTTGTTGTTGCCTTGTATTTTGATGTCAAATCTAAAAAAATCATCTCTAAGACCAATGTCAGAGAGCTTACTGCCAGTATTTTCTTCTAGGAGTATTATTTATAGTTTCAAGTCTTTAAATCACTTTGAATTCATTTTTGCCTATGTTGTAAAATGTTGGTCACTTTTGTTCTTCTGTATGTGGCTGTCCGCTTTTCCCAGCACTGCCTAGTGAAGGGACTTTTCTTTCCCCATTGTATATTTTTCACTCCTCGTTGTAAATTAATTGACCATATATTGGTGGTTTTCTTTCTGGGCTCTCTGTTCTGTTCCATTGATCTTTGTGTCTGGTTTTATGCCAATATCCATACTTTAAAAAATACGATACTGTTTTAATAATATGGCTTTATTATATGGTTTGAAATCAGAAAGTGTGATGCCTCCAGTTTTGTTGTTCTTTCTTAAGACCGCTTTGGCTATTTGGGGTCTTTTGTGGTTCCGTACAAGTTACAGAATTTTTTCTGTGAAAAATGCAATTGGAGTGTCTTTAAAGATTTTATTTACTTTTAGAGAGAGGGGAAAGGAGGGAGGAAAAGAGGAAGGGAAACATCAATGTGAGAGAGAAACATTGATTAGTTGCCTCTCACACGCAGCCCAACTGGGGAGGAAGCTACACCCTAGGCACGTGCCCTGACCAGGAATTGAACCAGTAACCTTTCACTTTGCGGGACAATGCCCAACCCACTGATCCACTGGAATTTTGATGTGGATGTGTTGAACCTGTAGGTTGCTTTAAGTAGTGTGGACTAGTTAACAGTATTAGTTGTTCCAATCCACAAGTGTAGAATACCTTTCCATTTATGTGTTTCGTATTCAATGTCTTATAGCTTTCGCCTCTTCATTTAAATTTATTCCTAGGTGTTTTTAAATAGCTATAAAGCCACATTGCCTAAAGTGACAGACTGTCTTGCCATAAGAACAGCTACAAAAAAGTTAGTTTAATCAGCATTTCTAAATATTGGGGTGAAAAATGCTTGAAATGTTTTTATTTTTCCTTGAGCTGTCAGATACCAAGTAAATCAAGAAGAAAGAGAAACACATGCAGGAGGAAGAAAAATGATAGTCTTAACTTCTCTAGGATCATATGGCTTTCTCATAGTTGAAAATAATCACTGCCCTTTATGTCCAAGGACTAAAAGAAGTCAGAAAATATAATCAGAATTAGGCAGCCCCAAAGAAGTCAAGGTATATTCTGCCTTTCGATCTTTTCTCTAGTTACACACAGTTCACTTTTTTTTTTTTTTTTTTTTTTTTGCCTGAAGGAACCTGGGTGCTGAGAGAATTTATTATGGTAGGATTTTGCTCTTATTTCCACAGTTAGTCACACAGTAAGTAATGCACATCAGATACACTTTTGTATAATACATTATTTTAGCTTCTGAGAACTTCACAAAGATAAATTAGAAAGTCCTCAGGAACTTGGATCTAGCAGGGGACGCTGATGAGACAGCAGTGTAGACTATTGCTGCAATGAAATGTGTTAGAGCCCTGGTTTTCGGAGGGGACCCCACAGGGCAGCAGCATCTGCATCACCCACACTTGTAATTCTTGGGTGAATTCCAAGCCCAGAGCTACTGAATCAGAAGCTCTGGGGGTGGGGCCCAGCAGTCCAGTCCTAACAAGCCCCAGGTGATTCTGTTGCACGGCTGGTGTCAGAGGTCCAGGTGCAGTGCCCCAGGAAAGCAGGACAAGGGGCCATTCATGCCATCTGAGTGGGATAAGACACCAAAGAAGAGGCGCCAGGTGAGCGGGGCCTTGGCGGACTATTTAAATAGTCACAAATTCTCTAAGGATGAAGGACTGGATTCTTAAACAGCGAAAGAGGTGCCTAAATGGCCTCCCTCGAATTCTGTACAGTCCATGGGAACTGCTTTTTGAATGCACTTTTGAGCTTTTAAAAATTTTTTAAATTTCTCTGTAGCTCCTGTTGCCTTACTATGTACATCAGAGTTCTTACTGTGGCAGGTGTATCAGTCAGGTGCTCCATTTAAAACAGCAGGTGCTCAGCTCAGACTCACTAGTGCCAAGTGGGAGTTTTTTTTTTAGTCTCATCTCTGCTTGCTGTTCTTCTGCATGCTGGGCTCATTCTTGACAAAGACAGACAAGCATATGCATTTTTAAAATCTTTAATCCCTAACACCTAGCAAAGTTTCTGGCACACAGGACACGAGTATAAAGTATATGAAGGAAAAGAATGAATGAGTGAGTGAGCAAATGAAGGTGTATGACAAATTAGGTGAATGATCAAGTCTGGCAAGAGTACCAAATTTGTGATGTACAGTAATCAAACAGAAGATGGAAACATAGGCCAAAGCCAGACTGTGGGGGCCCTCAAGATCATGACATGTGGAGTTAGGGGGTTCAGTATGGTCTCCTGTAAGCAATATTAGCTAGTGTGGGGAGGACACGAATATGATAAGTTCAGGGTGAAAACAAATAATTATATCAACAGGAAAGGTGTATTGAGAAGGTAAAAATCTCTTCTTAACTCCACATGTGTGACATCGTGTTGGCAGCTCGAAGTCAGCCATGGTGGGGTATTTATACCATGGAAATTGGCAAATATGCCAAATCAGAAGTGTCCCTGCTCCCCTGCCCCCACAAAACTGGTTGTTAAACATTTATCAGTAAACTGCAGGCACTGGATTTCCATTAGTTAATTATTTTAACAGCAAAATGTAGATAGTTAAGGACATAGACATATTTTTCCATATACATCCCTTTTCAAAGAAAAAACAATTCCTTTGGTTTTTTTGGAAGGTATTATAAAGCTTCAGCATTATCCTCTTTTTTTGAGTGGAGAAAACCTAAAATACCTCATGTTATAAAAACATTTTTTTCATCTACTTGGGGCAAGAAGTGTAACAGTTAAAATAATTTGATAATTTATTGCAATCAGTAAGATACTCTCCCAGATATTTCAGATTTCAAAGGAGATAGGTGATAATCGTGGAATTGTAAATGACCAAAAAAGCACTAGCTGCCTCTTTTGGATGTATACCTCTCCCACACACTCTGTCCTTGTGAGCCCTGCTTGTCTATTTCTGATGAGTAACTGCTTGGGAATTAGTGTGACATGGCTGTCAAGTGCGTGCGTTCTACCTCACTGATTATCACACTTGAAAAACCTTTGGATGTGCCATAAATAAAACCAGTGGGTATTAAGGGTATGTCCAAAATTTCTACCAAGCATTTATTATTCTCCATTCCTCCATATCATTCTCATGGCTTATTTCTTCCCCTTTCTTTTCTCCCTTCTTTCTCTTCCCTCCTCTTCCCTAAGTCTTTATTCCCTTAAAGAAGAGGGAGAAATGCCCTGGCTGGTCAACTCAGTTGGGTGGAGCTTCATCCCGTGCACCAAAAGGCTGTGGGTTCCATCCTCAGTCAGGGCATGTACCCA